ACTTCTTATATAACTTGTCATTTTTGTCGCCTTGGTTCTCGCTTTTTTCCCTGATGTGCGTTAATTAAGCAGCGTCGCTAGACGCCGACTTTTGCTGCTGTTGCCTTCTTCAAACGCACCTCCAAATCAGTATTTTTCTAGCGTATAAGAAATATATGTATGTATTTAGTTATTTATTTAAGTGTGTTAAGTCGTCTCCTCAGTTGTCTTGCGCTTGTCTTCGCTTCTTTTCGTTTCGTATTTGCACTTTGTGCTCCATTACCCCACCCCTTTCACAAGCTCCAAAAACTAGTGACGGCGAGGTCGGTGTGAGATGGGCCGTAGAAAATAAACACGAACACAGGCTCACCCATTTTAGAATTACTCCTTTTTTCTCACTAATAACTTGTTCGTTTCCCACATCAGGATATCCCAGTGTTCCAGGAACCAATAATCTGGAGATGTGGTCATGTGGGATTAGGTGGTGGTCGTATTGACGCAAGCAGATGGAGTGGGTGGGATGTAGCGACGAGTCTACTCAAGAGGTGTCTATGTCAGAAAGACTTGCGTGTGAGCACAAGTGGGAGAAAGGGATGACTGCCAAAGCATCAGCGAAATGTCACCAAACTCTTCTCCCGCTTGAGTTTGCATACCAACAGGTTGATAACAGGAATTGCGCATGTGCCACACTGGCGTTCATGATCTGCCGGCAGTTACTTCAAGCCGAATGAAAAATTGGTAACTGAGGTATCTACTGTCCTAGGAGGTATCTGTGTGTAGTTTCAATTTTGGAAGTATGCCAATCAAGCACACGTCTTTGCTGCGCTGGTGTGTAAGCAAGATCTCAACTGGAATTCCACCATTTATCGCTCATGCTACGCATTTGTACATTTGAAACAATCTGCTCAGTAATAAGCTCTACCTACTTGAGTCACGATAAGCCCTCCGCCATTCCTTTAGCCATAAAAGCAATGGCATTTACGGAGTTGTTGGATGACAGTGAGAACAAAGTATGCCAAGTACATTATAAGGCACTAGCTAAGTCGGGATAGTGTAGTCTAATTGTTTAACTGTTCACTTTGGATTCAGTAGTACTATACCCCTTCCCAATCCTCCTGAAGGCAGACAACACATTCCCTGTTCCATTACTGGATTTTTTGGCTTCAGGAAGAAAGGCGATTGAAAAATAATCGTTGCGTTGAATTTAATCGACAAAAAGTCGGTAGTTTCAGTCCCTCTGAATCAGATACCTTGAGAGCGGAGGAGTATGATGAAGATCTGAATGCTTTGGGGCACGAGGTGTAGATGATTCATCTCACTCCAGAGGGCACTAGTATACATTAATGACGACACAAGAACTCATGCCACCTCAATTGTGAAGATCACGACAACGACAAGGACGCAAATGCAATCCAGTCCTCAATACTCACGCCTATGTGCAAGCGGATGAAGAAGCCCCGCCACACAGGCACATTTGTTTCGCGAGGCATTCTGAGGTGAAATGTGTCTATTTTAATTAAACCAACAATATTACAGATGAGAGAAAGAGCGACTTCGATTAAATGCGTAGTACCATATTTACGCGAAAAAAGAAGGCGACTTGGATCCTCTCGCACAAGAATTTGTCAAAATTGGCTGTGAGTCAAGGGTGAAGTTTGACCAGGGTAGGTCTCGCGAAAATGCAATTCGAAGAGGGGATTGGTACCTATTCAAGACCAAGTCGGTCTAACCTTTAATGACCAAGAGTAGGCAGACCTGTCACTAATTTGGCGTGAACTCAACGTCGTTAGTTAACATCACTGAAACCAAATTCATCGACTAGACATTTTCGACGAAGGGCTTCAGGTTAAAAAGGACGATACTATCCGTAGCTATTACGTTCCGATGCAAAGCTGCCTTGTTCAAATGAAACATCACGGATTCATGCTTTCGCAAAAATGACTATCATTGTATTAACCAACAATCTTACCGTGAGTTACGCACTGAAAAGCAAAAAATTTTTCCAAAAAAAGCTAAAACAGCCGTGGAACAGCAACGGCAAGATAAAAGCAAGCACAGTTTTAAGTCAGTTTGCAAGCATACGGCAACGAAATCAGTAATAGTGAAAGTCGCACACTTACCTAAATGTCAAAGGTCATAGCAACAAAAGCAATCATTTATTTCAATGAAACTAGGTCCAAAAACTGTACAACTCAATATTCCTGTAAGTCACTTCGGGCGCGGAGTATTCAGCCCGTACTTGGCCTTAAGATGATCAAGAGTCTCACGTTTCTTGTCCACGTCTGCTTTTTTGAATTGCTGTAATCAAAGAAGAACTTAACTGAGATTATCCATGTTAGATTTGCAGAAGAATAACCTTTGATGGATTCATTCCAGTATTTATTACAACAAAATTGTTTTGCTAAGCCGATATACGCAACTATAAAAGCCCCCTAATTCCCCTACAAGTCGAACCACATACTAGCGCCAGAGGATTTGGCACCAGACTTGTAAATTTTCTAAAAACTCATAATAAACCTACTTTAAGGTCTGCACCCCTCAACTTCCCTCATCCATTCCAGAGCTGAGATATGCAATATGAACAATCACCTTTCTTCAAAGAGCACAACCAATAATGGAACTCTGAATTTCCACACTTCAACAAGTGAGAGGAAATTGTGAAGTCAGGATTAGAAACACTAAACAGAATCTGAAAATCCATGAAACTCAATGCAACCAAATCAAAATAAGGGGAGCATGCAACCATGAGTGGACGATAATGCGTTCCATTTCGAAAGCCAATTATGACCCCATTTATAGCACACATGACTCCTGCAAACGTAAGTGTGCGTGTGCTTACGAGCACTTCTGTGCGATGCGATCTTAAGAGATTGGATTGCTTGAGATCTCACAACAAATATTTAACTCCAACGCCGAAAATAGATAGGATATGCATTATCTGTGATGGCTCAGCACCGTTCCAAAGAATGATGTAAGCAGTCTGTTGGCAGCCAACGACTCTGAGCGGTTTGCCTTTATCCTAACGATGTGAATAATAGAGTTTCGACAACTATTCATGGGGCGTGTAGAAATGCCACAACAAGAATGACCAATAATAACAGTAATTAAAGGCGAAATTTCTAAAAATTAGACCAAAGATGACCAGCACAAAAACTTAAATTGCTTTATGAGCAAGTGGAGTCTTGGTGCACCCGTCATTTCGCCTTTCTTCTGAAAGGAAATTTGAGCACAAGTCTAAACCCAATCAATTGATGAAAACCAAGTTTGAAATTTTGCCATTTTGAATAATAAACGACAATGACCAAGACTTCAAGCAAAACGCATAAGACAGCATTGGAAAGATAACTATGAACTTGGCGTTTTTCGATGTGTCATGGCTTACTTTGTCGGTTTAAAGTTGAATTTCGATTGGAGCCATAAAAAATTCACTTTCTAAACGGCTCCAATACTCCCTACTTTTAATTCATGAGTAAAAGATACTTTGCACACGAAGGATGGCAAAATAATTTTAAGATATTAAAGAACACGAGTACACTAAAAGAAACTCAAATTGGTGGGACTTCAAACCAGAATAAATCAGTAAAAGGCTAGAAAGTTAGTGCGATATTTAATTATCGCCAGGAATCATACGTACAAAGCAGGACCACATCGATACCAATTTTTCAACGAATTCTGCCATTAAAATTGGTTCACAGTCAATCGTTAACAAATGCTCCGAAACTTCATACAAGTTGACCAAGCATAGAGACCGCTAAATGGAAGAACCAAAGAGCATCATTTCCTATCTATTTGGGAACTTATGCATAAACCCAACCTCATCATTCATCCGGATCAGTGATTTACCTCCATCCAGACCTAGAAAGGGCACATACATGTGGCAAGCCAGTAGAGAAACCTAGCGATGGAGTAAATAACTCGAAAAACAGGACCCAATAATTATACGTCCCAAGACGCAATTCATCTTCGATGGTTACTCTGAAGCCACAACTACGGAAGAAGCATAGCAATGGCTTAATAAAAGAAAACCTAATCTAAAACTCACCTTATTTCTTTGATAGTAGAGTACAACCAAATAGCGATTGCATACATTGAAGCCGCTGAGGTGATCACATGCATTCTTTGCATCGAAAATGTCTTCATAGACTACCAATGCAGTTCCTTTGGTCTCAGGTGTATTCCCGACCCGAATTTGTCGAATGGCACCATATTTCCCAAAAATGTCATACATATCTTCTGCGGATATGTTGTATGGGAGATTTTTTACTAGTAGGATGCGATTTACCTCTGGAGGAAGGCGTATCTAGGAGCAAAACGTCATTGGCTTCGAAAACACAATGGACTTGGATAACCCACACAAGCAGAAAATAAAATGGAGTGCGAAATGGACCTAAGTCCCTGAGACCAGATCATGTAATTCACATTGAGCCAAATCATTGGCTGGAATTGAAGTATCTGTCAGACCAGCTCATTATCGATTTGTACGGAAAATGACAATTTTAACTGATACCTAATTTACACCACGTTTTCACTAACATTTTGATGTCATTGTGCTAAATATGTCTATTTTCCACAAGAAAGACAAAATGATCGATACTTCGAGGATACTACCTTAATCCTACTCAAAAGGCAATGGATATTGAGTTCAAACTCCAAAAGTGACGGTAAAGTAATATACTCTGCCCCGACAACTTACAGACGGACGCTTTCCAAGAGCCATCACGGTTGCAGCAATCAAACCCTGCGCCTAAAATTTAGTCAACATAAACCAACATGATATTGCTAATAATTATCCACGTTTTAACTGTCTGTGGCATACGCTAGTTAATAAAATTTTCGCTTAACCAATTTTTTATTTATTTTTTATTATTTAAATTAGTTAACCGAACAGATTTGGTCCTTTAATGATAATTCTTTGTATTTGCCATACAGCGAGAAGTTGAAATGCGTTTAGGGCCACCTTTGAGTTAGGAGGGGATATAATACTCTGACATAACACATGTTTTTAGTAAGCAGACTGAAAATAAAACAACCCTTTAGGTCTAGGGACCAACTTTCTTAGCCGCACCACTCGGGTGATCGCAATCGGAACCATAAACCAGCAAACAACAAAACTTTTTGCATAGATCTCTTCCTTTTGAGCGTTATTCTAGACACTCGTCTTAGTCAACCTCCCGTTTCATTTATCACAATTTAATTAATATCGAAAAATACCCACAAGCTACCCTTGCCAGTCATCAAACATCCATGCAACCAAGGCGTTGTATGGCCGCGTCGTCGCGGATACGTCTTTAAAATCCTGCCGTTTGCAAAGATTCATCAAGTTGGATAAATGGATTTCGAAAGAAGTGCCTTGCCGGTCGTTCTGCAATACTGGTCCAAAAGCATGTTTATGAACGGCAGTATGGGATTTGCACCAATTTGGATTGTTGATGTTTTTTTGCAGTTATGGTGGGGAAGTTCCGAGAGGCAATTTTAAATAATTCACGACCTATGTTGGATGGCATTGTGAGTCAAGGGAATGACAATGTGTCCATCCCAATGATCGTAGTCGACACCAAGAATCGAACAG